ATTATTACGTAGAGATCTGATGGAACTCACCCAGACCAACGGTCGTGGGGAGATTTCTTTTGCTCAACCTTGAGGAGTGTCCTTGGAGGGCGTCCCCACCCAAGACAGGAATCTCCACACATCTACCCCAAGAAGGGCTGTGTTAGAAGAACCTGCCTGGATGAAAGGGGACTGGACTTCTCTAGTAGGAAGTGCTTGGCTGCTCCTCACAAATGTACAGGCCAGTTACCAGCTTCTCTGTCCCATTCAACTTCAAAAAGCAGGATGTGTGTTTGGAGTTGGGTGAACCAGGCTGGTTTGAGCATCATTCAACACCAAAACCATTCCCATGGCACCACCAGTAACTGGCAGATCTCACAGACAGCTTGCATGAGAGCTGGCACTGTTGGCATTGTCTGATGGGATTTTAGGCCTTATCAGGGTAGGCCCTCCTGCCACCCGGTCGAGAGGTTAGGGTTAGGGTTAGGGTTAGGGTTAGGTTGTGAAAGTCCATCCTGGAGATGCACAGGTAGCCAAGAGTTGGGCTGCTGAGTGACATCCAACAATGGACAGGGGGATGGGACTGACCAGATGAAAGTGTCTCAGGTAGAGCTGGACTGGCAACACAAGGTGAATTATTCCTGGCTCAGTGGGCCCAGGACACCTCAGGTCCTCAGGGAAGAGGTGCAACATCAAGCTGGGCTTGTGATCCAGGGCTGGATTTAACCATGGACACCAACTCCCAGGTTCTCCAGAACTGGGAAACATGTGCTGCCATCAAACAGGCCAAGAGGGTAAAGCCCCTGTGGGGTGGGGGATGATGGCTGAGATAGAGATGTGGGCAGGCCTTGCAGATTGATCCCAGCACACTCCCCAAACCCACCAAGGCAAGCTCTACGTGCTGACCATGGTGGACACAAGGACTGGAGGGCAGGAGACACCCCCTGTGCCTCCCACCACTGCCCAGAACACCATCCTGGGCCTGGAAAAGCAAGTCCTGTGGAGACACGGTCCTCCAGAAAAGCTGGAGTTGGACAGCAGGACTCTTTTCCAAAACAACCTTGTGCACACCTGGACCAGAGAGCTCGTCATGGAGTGGATGGATCATATTCCCTGTCATGCACCAGCCTCTGGGAAAGTTGAATGGTAGAGTGGACTGTTCAAAACCACCTGGAAAGCAATGGGCAGTGGGACCTTCAAACCTTGGGATCTGCATTTAGCAAAAGCCACCTAGTTAGTTAACCCTGTAACCTCAAGAGAGAAAAGTCCAGGCCAGTTCAGTGTCTAAGATCAGCTAAAAAGAGCAGGTCCTTTCATCAGGCCCACAGGCCCAGGGGAACACACACGACGTGCGCCCTCCCAGGCAATGGTTCTACAGTTTTAGAAGATGGTCCATCCAATGCCAGAACTCTCCACCCCCTGGTTCTGCCCAGTTCTGCCCCCTGACACACCCCTTGGGGAATTGGGTTTGGGGGCTTTGGGACCCCTTCTCTCTCATCTTCATCTTCTTCACAGCCCGTACAGTCCTTGGAGTGCCTCCAAAGTTCTGGGCTTGAAGGTTGCTTTGTCTCTTGTGGGATCTTGTTGTCCAGGTCTAGGGTGCCATGTTGTTCAACAGAGGTGTTTTTCTACAATTCTACCTTGAAAAGAAGTCTAAACATGCAAAAGGAATTTAGAAAGTTTAATATCAAGTGGGGTCATAGGGTTGAGCCTGTGTAAACTACTATGCTAAAGGGTGGTATATAATACAGCTACATTGACATCTACATTTACTACACAACTATTTTAAAATCTAAAAAAGCCCAAATATCCAGAAAGCTTTAAGGCATCACACAAACCTAGTTAGTTAACTCTACCAGTTGAGCTGGCCCTGCCCAAAAAGAACCTCTTTGTACCATTGAAGGGGATAAAATCCCTGTGGTCCATGTGAGGAATATGTTAGGGAGGACAGTTTGGATGAGTCCTGCCTTAAGCAAAGGCAAAGCCACCCATGGGATTGTTTCTGCTCAAGGACTTGGGTGCACTTGGTGGATGATGCAGAGGGATGGGGAAACACACTGTGTACCTCAAGGGGATTTGATTTTTGGGTCAGAACAGTCCATGATGTTGAATTGTAGAATATTGTTTGCCCAATGACGCTCCCACTGTGTGCCAGAACTCCCATGAACAATGAGGTCTTTCCTTATGTACAGTTTTTTATTTTCTATGCTTTTGATGTTTTCTTTAAAAAAAAAAGTCATGTTTACATTCCCTCCTTCTTCAGTAGCCCCCATCTTGTGTGTCCCAGAGACTTAGTCTAACTCAGCACCACAGCCTGGGAGACCCCGAGAGTGACCCTGAGCCCAGGCACCGCTTCTGCTTGTGCCCCCATTTGCCAGTGTTTCTTTGGCTTGCTGGGGCAGAGGGGGGTGGTTATCAGGGAGGATCCTCCACATTTTTCCCCTTTACTCCAGGGGTGCCATGTGGGCGAAGAATTCCCCTCTTTGTGGGTCAGCTGTTTCCTGTGTGTCTTTGTGGTTGCTGCTATTTCCTTGTCAGTAAACTCTTAGTTTTAAACTTATACCTCCTTGCGTTTTATCTCTCTGTATTGGTAAGGGAAAAAAAGGGAGGGAGTTCATTTTATTGGAGTTCCCACTCCAAGTTTTGTCTTTAAGCAAAGACAGCCCCTCAGTTGCATGAGGTTGTGCAGAGTCACAAATGCCCAATTGTTCCATAAGGTTCCACAGCGTCCTGTGATTCCTTAGCTTCCCTGAGGCCCTAGACTGTCACAATGGACATTTGATTCCATGAGGCAGTGTCACAATGGCCCGCTGATACCAAGAGATTCTGCAGAATCCCAGGTTTCCTTCAGTTCCACGAGGCCCTGCAAGATCACGGTGGTCCCTTGATTCCATGAGGTTCCACAGTGTGCAAGGCTTCCTTTGGCTTCGAAAGGCCCTGCAGAGGCACAATGGATCCTTGATTCCAAGAGGTTGCACTGTTTCCCAGTGTTCTTTGGCTCCATAAGGTCCTGCAGCATCACAATGGCCCACTGATTCCATCATTTTCCCCAGTGTCACAGTGCACCCTTGATTCCATGAGGTTCCCCAGTGTCACAATGGTCCCTTTGACTCCAGAAGGCCTTGCAGAATCATAATGGCCCCTGGATTCTGTGAGGTTCCCCAGTGTCACAATGGACCCTTGATTCCATGAGATTCCGCAATGTCCTGTTGGTTCCCCTTGGTTCCAAAAGGTTCTGTGATGTCACACTGACCCCTTGATTCCCTGACGTTCCACAAAGTCCCGGGGTCCTTTTGATTCCACAAGGTTCCGCAGTGTCCCATGTTCCCTTTGGTTCCAGGAGGCCCCAGTGTATTCCAATGGCCCCTGGATTCCATGAGATGCCACAGTGTCCTGGGGTTCCATTGTCTCCCTGAGTTTTGGCAGTGTCTGGGGTCCCTTTGTTCCCATGATGCTCCGAGCCCTCCATTTCAGTTGAACACGTGGCATGCCAGACCTCTGGAAGCTCTAACCAAGCACTAAATGATCCAAAGTCTCTTGGCAAACACTCCCCTTTGTCCCCTGATGGTGCAGCCCAGGCTGTCCCTCTTCTGGTTCTGAGCATCAACCAACGGTACAAAACCCAGGAGACAGGGGAAAAAACCTGTGAACTACTTTTGATACACACCAGAAAAAGTGAGAGTACACAATGATGGTGCTGCTGCTTCTAGCAGGGGTTACACATCCCTTTGATTACCGAAGGGAAAAGGACACAGGAGGTTGGAACAACCTGCATCCATAAATCCAACTTGGCTGTCTGGCAAGGGAGCAGGCTTCCTTCTGGCTGTCAAAGTGCTCCAGCCTGGCAACAGGAGAAGGCAGGAATCAGGCTGCCAAAGCCCCTCTCACCCCTACCAGTGGACCCTTTGGTCTAGCAGGGGTACCAGGGCACATGTTGAAGAGCAGGGACCACAGTTCCTAACAGTCACCCTTGAACAAAAAGGCAAAAGGATTTACCTTTAATATAAATCTGTTATTTTATTAAACAGGTTTAACAATCAACTGTTCAGAATCCAAACAAGAAACTCTTCTTCAGAAAGAATTTTTGGAGAGAAACTACCCAAAAAAGGCCCGTTTCTTACTGCAATCATGTTCCTAAACGGGATGCTTTATTTTTTGCTTTATAAAAATAAGAAAATCACTCTCTCTTATTCATCTATCTATGTGTACATATGCACCACGTACTTCAGAGATGAGTATTTTACTCAGAAGACCAATATGGAAGCCCAGAAAGAATGGAAATACTCCCAGCACACTGTTCCTGCTGGATGAGGCTGGACCGGTCCGTGGTCTGTCCATGGTAGTGGTGACCATGGCCCCTTGTCAAAGGCAAATTTTTGGTACAGTATCTTTGGAGTAAGCATCTTGGCAGACACCTGAGATGCTAAAGCACACCACACACTCACGCCAGAAAATGACGGTCTCTTCTCTGGATGCACAGTTGTATTGCTTATTAAGTAAAAACACTATTATGCACCAAAATCACTTAGGAATTTTCGGTGAATTTTTCTGTATAAATTCTCCACCAAACCGAAGATCTGACTTGGAGCCAGTGTTGTAGTTGAGTGAGAGAAGCAATGAGGTGGGAGCCAAGTCAACACTGGGCCCTAGCTAATTTACTTTTTCAGCCTTAGGAGTGCCTAATGATTATGTCAAATCAGGAAGAGGGCAGAACTGTTAAACCAGCCAATCGACCATGGCTTCTCCAAGTCCTGAACGAAGATAGAAGAAGATCAAACTGCAGTTCACAGGAATTCTCCAGGATGAGTACAAAACTGGGAAAAGTCCCACAAGGCGGATTTTGGCCCAAAATGGTAAAATTATGTTCTAACTTCCTGTGCATGTGCGAGCATGGTGGTGGCCAGCTGTGAGCACTGCTGTCACCTTTCTTGCGGCCTAAGACAGCTCTTATCCAAGAATGGATGCCAAAAAAAAAGTGCTGTTTTAAATGCCCTTCAGACCTGTGTACTGGTAGTGGCACCAGTTTACAGCTTGTTCTTGTTCCAGTCTTGTTAGTACAAGACTAACCCTGTGTAAACAGAGCTGTGACCAAACCTTCCTACCCACAGGGACAGGAATAAAGCCTCTGAGTCTGAAACACCTGCTCACTCCCCACCAGCACTAACACACCTCTTCCCTGCAAGGGTGAAGATTAACCCAGGCCACAGTCAGAGTTAAAGGTGGTTGTTTTGGCACCGCAGACGAGGGCCAGGCAGGTCAGTGGGTCAGGACAGGAAAAACAGGGAAAGAGGGGGGGGGAAAAAGCAGGGGAGGTTCTTCTGTTTGCATTTGCAGTACAGAAACACTGACAGATGGAGAAGGGAGTCAGGCCAGCAGGCAGATCCAGTCTGCTTGTACAACAGCAGGACAGGAAGCTGGATATCCATTTGGGAGAGAGTTTGTGGGATATAGGTGGGTGAATGTGATAGTCTGATTCTGATGAGCATTGTAAGGGTTAACACAGGGCTGCCAGGAATAGAGACCAACCCTGGGCACCTCCTCCCCAAGCTCCAACGGGCACAGAGGAGTCAGCACACGGAGAAGGGCCCTGCTCCACGGTGGCTCACAGGGACTGGTCACGATGTGTTGGGGACCATCCCATAGGCTTCATACAGCTTGTTGAGCAGCTCCTGCTTTTCCTTCTCAGGTAAGAAGCTGGACTGGGCTGCGTTGATGTTCTGGGGAAGAAGAGGGGGAACACAAGAGAGACATTAAAACACATCAGACGTGAACACGTGGCTGTGCACGTCCCAACATCTGGCTCTGAGCAGCAACAGGCGAGGGAAAGTGTAAAGTTTCCACTCTCAGATTTATTTATTTCCATGGCCTTGTTTTACAGGGCAACTGCTCTGCCCCCTCACTAGAGCAGTCCCAAGAGGAATGAGACAGGCACAAAGCAAGTACTTTAAAGTCTTTAAATACTTTGGGATTTTTGGGATATGCACTTTAGACCTGCTCCTACTTTCCTGACTCCCCTTCAGAAAAAAGCCTCTCCTGACACAGCCATGGTGACAGCCTGATGGGACACAGCCTGGCTCTGCAGTTCAACCTGGTCACCTGTCTTGTGCAGGGATTTTTATTACACAGGAACAAGGTGGCTTTTGCAAGAGTAGGAGAGGACAGCTGTGGATCCAGGATCCCAGAGCTCACAGCTGTCCTTGTTCCTCCTTCCAGACCCAGAGAGTGAGGTCAGTAGGAGAAAGGGATTTGTTCCACCAGACAGAGTTGAGAGGAGGCCTGATGCTCCTGCTCTTCCCAAGTCAAGTATCTTGGAAGACATGTAGGTGGAATTGCTCACCAGGACTTGACTCAAACCAGGAAGGTTCACCTGGTAACCAGGTAAGTCAAACCCCCAACAGTTACCCTGTCTTTCTGTCTTGGGTGGATAATTAGAAAATCAAGGATGTAAGCAAGAAACATAAATGGCTGTGCGTGCCAAAACAGTGACCAGCAGTCATTTTGTTTCCAGCTCAGTTGCTTCATCCTCATGTTGTAAGTGGAAAAACTGCAAGCACTTTCATACCTGATGAATCTTGCTCATTCCTGGGCCAGGCCTTGAAATAACTGACCTGCAGTTCCAAATATGGGGAAAAAAAAAGCAAGAGGCACCTACCTTTCCTGCTGCTCAGACCTGCTGTGAGACCTTCAGAGGACAATTTCCACTCTGACCCGTTCCCCACACCGACTGAGGCAGTCAGCCCGGGAGATGCAGCCCCTCAGAGCCCACCCTGCGCCCACACCCTGCTCCCCACAGTGCTCCAGAACCCCCTCCAGCCAGCTCAGCACCCTCTCAGCCTCCTGCTTACAAGGCCAGGGCAGCATTTTCTGGTTTTCATTAAAAATTCTTCAGCTCATAAAGAAAAACCAGCAGGTTGTTCTGGGCTGCACCGGGACAGCATCAGAGCACCCAGCCAGGGCTGACTCACAACTCTCTTGAACTCCTCTTCGGTGAAGCCCATGTATTCCTTGACTATGCCATAATCCTTGTCAATGGTGGAGTTAAAGATGAGGGGGTCATCCGTGTTTAGAGAATAGTTGGCATGATCCTTCTTAAATCTGTAAGGAAATGGGGTTGAAGTGGTGGGTAAAGCACTGGATGTGACGTTGTGCAGTTCTCAGGGTGAAACGCAGTAAAAGCAAAGACCTCAGGGCTGGAACTGCAGGTGGAACTGCTGGAGACAGACACAGAGCGTGGCTTCTGTCCCCACAGCTCTGCACTGACCTGCCAGTAGTGGCTGGGGTGCAGCACCTCATGCCCCACAGCTCAGAGCAGGGGGGACAGGACAGCCAACCCAAGGGACCCCTTCACCCCTCCAGCTGCACCAGCTCCCCCCGTGCAAAAGGACAAGGATGTGCCACATTGTCCTACATAATTGGATGGGCCTTAGCTTTATAAAGCAGTAAAGCAACCCAAATCCTGGTTATTTAAGATTGCATATAATTGAGAAGTCTTACTGTATTACGGGGTGTTTGGTGAAGTCTGGAGAACACGCTCCAGTGAGATAACTGGACCACGGGCAGACCTGTTTGGGGGAGTTAAGCATGAAAAGCAGAACAAAGCACACAGATCTGAACCCCAGCTGTGGACACAGATAGCTCAGCACACTGGTAAAGCCAGATACAGGCTTAGAGCTTTGTTCACAGTTGCCCCTCAGTGCTACTCTGATGGACCAGTGCACATCCCAGGACACGGATGCAAAGAGCCCAAAACCCACATGACAGCAGCAGGAGCCAGTGGGATGTCTCCCATGGCCAGTCAGTCACCAGCAATGTGCCAACCACAATTAGGAAACCAATGCCATTAAGCATATACACATATATTCCATGTATTAGCTGGATATGACCATTCTGGGGAAAAGCCGAGAAAATCTGCACATGCACAGTAACTTTCAGGCATTTCCACCCTCTAACCAGACTTGCTCTGGTATAGCACCCTGATTTGTGGAAGGAGGAGCCTGTAGACTTGAGGTGTATAAACTAGTGAATAATCCCTCTAGAATTTATCCTCGGCCACACCAGAATCCATTCTTTCTGCTACGAGCCTCCCACAAGCTGCTGTGTGCACTGCTGCTCCTTGCAACAGGTTCCAGCAAACAGACAGGTGTCCCCACCATTTCTGCTGTAGAGCTTTGGGCAGCTGAGTTCAGTGTAATGTTACCATACATTATGGTCAGCTCTCAGCTGTCAGGTCGTGCCCCTGGCTGCAGCACAGCCCAAACAAGGGCTGGTTTTCCACTCAGCAGCTGTCACGCTCCCACCACACATCCTTGCCTCAAAATGCATCTTTGTTCTCAGCAGCTCCTTGTAGAGCTCAGGGTCCTCCAGGACATGGTATCCATGGCCAATACGCTCGGCCTTCAGGACGTAAACTGCCTAAAAAGAGCACAGGAAAACCACTCACAGCCTTTGAGCACCAGCTCGGCTCCTGCCTGCCCTGAGACCCCTGTCCCACCATGGGGACAGCCCCCACCACTGACCCTGCTCTGGGATGGCCCTTTCCAGCCACTGCGCCCTGTCCCCAGTGTTTGCTGTGCTGTGGCTACAGAGAGGGTTGGGACACCTCTCTCCCTGGTGCAGGGGATGCAGGGCACTTCCCAGCCCTGCCCCTCTCTCTGCCCTGACTCGGGAACTCCTCGTACCTCCTTGACCATGGCAGCGGGTCCGACCTCCCCAGCGTGGACAGTGCGATGAATCCCACACCTCTCAGCTTCCTGCAAAACAAGGGAGAACATGTTCCTGTCCCATCACCTGCAGCGAGGGCAGCAAACCCCTGGGATGGCACAGCAAGCAACAGGGCTCTGTGCCAAGAGCACACAGGTCACAGGCTCCGCACTCCAAGGGCTGCAAGAGAAGAGCCACAAACAGAGACACTGAGAAATCCTGGTACCTTCTGTTGGAGCCCAGCCAGGCTCCTCAAGGGCTTTTTTGGGTGAGCTCATCACTGCCTCTTCTCCAGACAGCAGCAAGCTCCAAGCTCCCCTTCCTCCACCCACCTGTCCTTCTGCATGAACCTTGCAGCAGCTCCAGCCTGTGGAACTTCTACCTTTTTGGCCATTTGCAGCCACGTGGGGGAATTTAGAAGCCCTCCCAGGGCAGAGATGAAGAAATGCTCTGACACTGAGCAACTCCCTCCTGTAAGGAGTTGGGCTGGAGGCAGCCCAGCCGAGAGGACCCTGCGGGTGCAGCTTTCGGTGCAGCTCCATGACCAACCCGAAAAATCCTTTGCCAGGGTGGCCCAGAGGCCACCTGGGCTTTGGGAAGCCATGCAGCCTCGAGGGAAGCCTGGCTCCTGGCTTGCTGGAGAAGGGCCACCCAGCTGGCAGCAGCAGGCAGGCTGCAAGCCCCATCCCGCAGCAGCCGCTCCTCACAGACAGTCCTTCAGGGCTTTGCACTCAGGAGGGTTTTTTCAGTTACTTAATACAGATGGGAGTGGGGTTTGCTTCAGCATCTTAGAGCCTGAGCGAGGCCCTGGCACAGAGACATGATGCACCCTTCAGATGGAGAAGGCTGGACCCGGGTACTGCTGGCACAGCAGGGAGGAGAAGACACACTTGCCCATTTGTTCATAAACCCCTGTGCCTGCGTCTGGGCTTATAATCACTCTGTTTACCCAGCACAGCAGTGCAGGCAGACTTTGTATCAGCTCCCACTGATGGGGTGAAGACCCCAGGAAGCCCCACATGCTTTCAGACCTGAGTACTGCTTACAAACCACTCTTTTTTGCCAGTGGTGGTGCACAACCTCTTCCCCCACTGATGGAGGGGACTAACAACCCCAAATTCCCACTAGCAAAGAGGAACAAGACTTTCCCTTAGAACCTTTGCAAAGGCTGAGGTCTAGTAAGAGTCTGGGATCAGGCTCCTGAAGCTATTACAGTGTTTGTTTTTGAGATGATCAGATAAAAGCCCTTCAAATGTGCAGCTTCCTCTCAGCTCCTTGGGTGATTTCTGGCAGGCTGGAAAGGCCAGTCTCTTCCACCTTGGCCATGGTTCCACTGAGCCCCAGGAGCTGACAGCAGCAGGGTGGGGGATGATCTGGGCTCCACGTCACTTGTGTCACGCTCAGTGCTACAGGGTAGCGTGCCAAGCCCCAGCTCCAAGACCATGTTTAAGCAGTGATGCCTGTCTTCAATCATTTAGGAAATATAAACAAACATTTCTGTTTTTAACAGCTGCAACGCATTTCTAAGTTGTCCCAGCCGTCTGCAGTTGGAAAAACGTGCTACTTGTCCCTTCACACATGTCCCCTCAATATGTATTTTTCTTGTAATTTCTTTTAAGATGCTTAATTCCACAAACCTCATAAGCCTTCTTATGCTCAGAGTCATTCTCCACCTTCAGGGTCTCTGAAGGTTGACCTTCAGCCAGGTCAATGGCCACCACAGAGTCGTTTCGATACTTCTTGCAGAGCTCCACCACCTCTGGAGACCAGCCTGGAAGAGACAGCACCAGTACTTAGGAGGAAGCATTTTAATGAACAAATCCTGATCCTATGACTAGAAGGCTAGAGCTATTTTCTTTGGTCTTTCCTAAAATGTGATGCTCCAAAAAGAAACTCCTAGAAAAGTCTGTCATGTTCATGCAAATAAAAGCTGTCAACTGATCAGTCTGTCATCAAGGAAAGGGAAACCAAATGCACTCACTAGTTATAAAACTGCTCTTATCATGTTCTTCTGTTCACTTTGAGCAAGGGGAAAAAATCCCCTCCAACCAGTGGTTGACTGCTGCAGTTGGCTCGAGGTAAGATGAAGTGCACTGCTCTGAGGTTGTAACATGGTGCTTTGGAGAACTCCCTCAACTCACTCCTGAGCTTTCACCCCATCCCAGGCCGAGCATCTGTTGGATGTGTCGTGTTAAGGAGGAGTTTGGGCTGAGAGGGATCTCTGGGGGGCCCTGTACAACAGTCAACCATGCCCTATTATAGGGCATCCTCGACTTCCCTGGGGCAAGACAATGGATTCCACTTCTGGTGGGAAGGAGCTGAACTTTTATCTATTTGACATGAGTGAGAAAGAGAGTAACAAGTGGCTGACAATTACTTCAGAGCTCTCTCTGATCAGGATAGATAACCTCTGCTAAAGGACATGCATCTACCAGCTCACATAGCACTTAACCTTAGCAGAAAGGCCAAGAAACAGAGATAAACAGTAGTGTTAATAATTAACAGGCACCTGCTGTGTACATACAATCCCCAAACCATAGGAACACATAAGAGGATGTGTGCAATTTCATCTTCTTCTTGTTTTCATCAGTTCCCAACTCACTGGGTTAGAGCCACTATTTTGCTAACAAGTTTAATACAAGCTAGTTCTGGCTGGAATCTCTGCCTTTCTCTCAACAGTTCATTATTCACAAGGTGATTAATATCACAGGTGATACGCTGTGCAGCACATCCTGAACGCAGCACTAAAGACTCTTTACCAAGCACATTCCTGGCTCTGGGTAACAGAGCTGGTGCCCTGGGATACAGGTATGAGAATTGCTCTGTTGCCTGCACAAGCAATCCCTCCTGCAGTGCAGCTGCACGTGCCTTTGGATGCTCCTGCCACCTCCTGCTGTTACCACTTGTGTGCTGGCACACTGCAGATCAGGGCGACTGTGCCTTACAGCTTTCCAGTTTCTACAAAGAAAAATGTTTTCTTCCTAGAAACCAGAAATGACAGGGTCAAGTTTTCAAAGTATTGTTTACTGTTGACTGTGCAGGCAGGAAAAAAACCCACTCTCCAATCTCCCAGTTTCCAGGAATAGGATTTTTCACATTTCTAGACACAAATTAACCACGTACTCATTAGGAAAAATCTTTCCACCATCTACCCTATTAAGCCTGTATGAAACCAATGTGAGATTTGAAGATACTCAGAGAAAAGTCTTCACATAAAACAGCTGCTGTCACACACTCTCTCTCTGACCTTCTTCCTTGGAGGAAGGTCCTCACAGAACTCAGCAGCCCATTGAAATGCTGGAAATCAGGTTTCCTTCCTATTCTGGGTCACAGCACCTGTTACTGACCAAGTTCAGAGCTGCTGATTTTTTTAAAAATGTTTTATGTATGTGTCTTAAGTATATTTGACTCGTGTTTTCATCTTAAGCCAGCAGAGACTGACGGTAGCCAGTGGATTCTCTGGCTGCCCCGTGATCCAGGCTAAGGAAGGAGCACATGCTGCTGTAGCAGCAGGACCACGAGCAGGGAAGTGTGAGATCTCAGTCCTCCTTCCACGACCATCTGCTCTCAGACCCACCAGACAGCACAGTAGATGCAAGTGCTCCCTGTGCCAATGGCTTTGACTGGCCCAGGGGGTGCTCTGGCCTTTGGGCAGGGAGCAGAGATCACAGCTCCCCAGGCAGAGAACAGATGAGCAAGACGTTTCACATACTGGTTATACCCACAGACCCCCCCTCTCCCATCCAGCAGACCTTTTCCCCACAGTGAAGGGAGCAGAGAACCCCCACCCAGAAAGAACTCCTCCTCAGCACTGTCTGGTCCTGCATCAGACCCAGGGACCAGGGGCTTTCCCCACATTTGTGCAGGGACCCAAACCCAGGGGCCATCACCCTCCACCATGCGCCAGGGAAGGGGAGCAGAGCAGCAGGGGAGCTGCAATTCATTACTTGGCATATGGTGCATGCAGCATAGAATAGACCTGGCTTTGATGTGGAAATCCCTTTCTCCATCCTGTAGTCCCTGATTTACGAGCTGCACGACTTCATCTGGAGTGAGGTCTCCCCTGCAGGGAAGAAAAGCTATCAGCAAGAGGGCAGACACCAGCCAGGGAGGCAGGCAGGAGACAGGCTGCCCAGGGCTCCACTCGCCTCAACATCCAGAGGCACCCAATGAGACCACCCAGAACTTATGAGCACCTTTTACACCCATGCCATGCCCACATTTACCAGATGTCAGGCACAGAAGCACATGAAGATGACAGTAAGATTTAGAAATGCCTCAGGGAACCAGGGGTAAATCCTGCCCTGAGGAACCCCCTCTTTGCCAGAGCATCTCATTAGGGCACACAACTGCCTGCAGCCAGGCAGGGGCAAGCGTGGGGCTCAATGCCCACCACGGCACATTTTGGAGGGGCCACAGAGCCCAGCACTTATTTAATAAGAGGCACACATCACAGAGGAGATGATATGCAAGGAAAGGATTGGATCACCAGCCCCCTCCAATGCTACCCACTATCTCTGCCAGCTCAAATTCCCATTTTGCAGGCAGTCCACATGTGAAGGCTGCTTTGCCTCGCACAGAGAACAGCTCCAGCCAGAAGGCTGAGCACAGCTGCCCTGCACATGCAGAATCCAGTACCCAGAGCAAGGGACGTTAAAACACAGCAGCACACAGAGGTATTTAAGATGAAAAACCCTACAGGTGGGAAGGAGAGGTGGAAGCATGCTGGTGCTCACTGCATGGGGGGAGAAAGGAGCTTTGGACACACAGCTGCTGTCCGGAGTGAGCCATACGTTCTCCATGCCCAACTGGTCACCCAGCAGCTCCCTGGCACAGCAGGATCACTCACTCAGCTTGTCCCCAGGGGATGGGATCCACGCCAGAGTTGGCCAGGAGGTGAGGGCTGTACCGGACCTCCACGTAGGCGATTCCTTCCTTTGCCTTCGTCTCCACGAACTCGTAGGCAATTCTCCTCACTGCCTCACGGTCACCCCTGCAGGGACAGCAGTGCCACCCATCAACTGGGGCTGCTCACCCCCAGGGCACACAGGGAACCTCCAAGGCTGAGCCAAGGGATGCTGCCAAGGGTTGAGGGGGGAGAAGCAAAAAGCAGGGCACTTACGCAATAGCAGGCACGTAGTAATTAAATTTCTCTAGAAATTGGGGGAGTGTCAGTGGTGTGTCATAGCTGATGTACTTCAGGAGCTCCTCAACAGTGTCGCCGGGGAGAGGGATCCCTCTTTTTCTGGAAATGAAGGCACGTGTTACTGACAGGGAAGGCATCACATTTTTGATCAATCCATTTCACACAGCGATCACATCCCGAGCTGGCAGCATCAACCACTGCTCCTTCACAGAGAGACACAGCACACGCTGTCCTTCCAAAATCTCCTCGTGGATGCTGCCCTGAATCTCAGCAGAGAGGAAGGCAATCCAAAACACAGGCAAAGCACAAACCAAAAGACAAGCCCAGACTGACCCTGCAGGAACACAGCCAGGGCACATTTTAAGCTTAAGAAGGAGTTCATCTAAAGGGGCTCTGGATTATTTCTTGACACCTCCTAGTCCTAGGAATTGCCAAAATTCTTTAGAAAAGTCAATATCCACTTACACAGGCTCAAAGGTTTGAAAAATCGAGGGGATGCTCCAAGGCCTGGGATCATGCAGGCAGAAGTGTCGTGGCTCAAGGGTTCAGTTCCTGTGAGTGAGCTGGTTCCTGAGCCCAGCACTGTGGTGGCATCTTCTCTGACAGGGACACCTTCCACGCAGGAGCAAATGGCAACAACTGCTCTCACCAAAGAGATAGTGATGCTAAAGCCCATTTAAGTACTTCCAAGAGGGGAGAGGCCATTTTTCCCTGGAGCAGCTGGAGTACTGTGGGGGGGAAGGTGTCGCCAGGGCAGTGGGGCGACAGCCGGGCTGCCAGCCAAGAGTGCTGAAGGCTTCCTGGGCAGGCTTTGCCACCCCCACACTCTGGTACCCTGCACAAGCCAACACAAATTTGGAATAATAACCAGACATTTGTTTTTAATCCTCTTTCCTGCCACAGTGAATTACAGCTAATGGGTGGATCTCTGCTAATAGAGACAAAACACCACAGAAAGTTTTATTGTCTCCATGCCAGCAATTATTCCAGGGAGCCACGCAGGGGGACAGTCCAAAGGACCCTGCTCCTGGGCTCAGTAAACATTGCTCCTTCCCCCCTCAGCCAGGAAGGAAACCAGCCCCACGCTCAGCCCTCACATGCAATCTGCACAGATTAAGTTGCTGGCACTCAGCAGGGAACACTCATGGTTGCCAAGGCATTGGTTTTCCTCCCTACCTTGCCCTTTCCATGGCACTGACACATCAGTGTCTGCCCTAGGAACCGGCTTGCACCTCCCTCCACCTGCCCAGGGGAAGTTTCCTACAGCAAAGCCCCTTCCCTGACATTTTCCTGTGCTTCCCGAAGGATTGCCTCTGCACAGGCAGCAGCAGCAGTGCTTTGGGATGATCCACCCTGGAGTCAGGTCTCTGGATGAGGAGGTCTGGTGGATCATGCCAGTGTGGTCCTGGGAGCTGCTGCTGCCCCATCCAACCCTGCTGGAAGGCGGGATCCTTCCTGAGGCAAAGCTGCTCCAGGGAATGTGCTCGTGCCCACCAGCACCTTGGTGTCCTACCCAGAGCCACCTCCAGTCATGGACAGCACCACACACACTGTCCCACCTTGGACAGGGCAGCTTTCCTGGGGACATCCAGTCCCACGAGGGATCTGCCATGGCTCTAAACCTTCTGGCTGGGCAGGGGGGATGCAAACCCTGGCCCAGATCTGACAGAATTGGAGACAAAGTTTCTAAAAACCACCGAGTTCAGCAGTGCACTGCCCAAGGGACCTTGTGCATCCCAGCAGCTCGGGCTTATATTATGCCACCACCTGGCAAATTTATTTCCAGCTATTTACCTTTAAAAATAGACCACAAGCAGCCTTCTGTGCCCAGGGTGAGGTTATTAAGGTAGCCAGTCCCCTACAGCCTCCTGCACTGTTCCACTGCTTTTTTTGTGTGTGTGAGTGCAAGTTTTAGAGCTCACGAATAGCACAGCCTTGCTCCACCCGAGGGCTGGCAGCTCTGGGGGATGTCAGGGCTGTCTATAAATAAGAGGCAACTCGGCACACCCTCAGGCAATGAAGGTTTCTGCCCTAAGCAAGGATCCTGGCACAGGATCCCCAGACAGCCAGTGCCTCCTGGGCTTCAGGGCTCCCGCAGCCCTCCTCAGGGACTACACTGGCATTTTCCCTTTGCTGGCAGAGGGACCCAGCAGAATCCCAGGGAGTCACCACTGACCCATCTGCCCTTTTGGACCTGTATTCCAGCCCTGCAGCCCACCAGCAGGAACCCTGACTCAGCTCAGTGCCAACATCCTGCAGTGAATGGGATGGACAGCTCTGATCCACTCTCCTTGCTCTGACTATCCTGCAAAAGGTATGGCCACGCCCTGCAGAAATAGCTACTGTAGAAAGAATATTCCCCCTAGGACTGCACTGCCTTGGAGCCTGCTGGGCTCACAGGATGCCAGAACCACTTCCCATCCTCGTCAGAACTGATTTCCTCCCCAAAGTACCAGAGCTGTGCCCAAGAGCTGTTCCCTGAAATCCTTAAGCTCACAGCCTTCTTGATCTGAGGGTATCAGTGACAGCTGGAAGAATTCTTATTTATTTTGCCCGCAAGCATGAAGCCAGGTCCTCACACCAGTTAATCATTCACCCAGTGCTTCCCACACAGTCTACACTGAAGGGAGAAGATGCACGTGGGCTCTGTCAAGGAAACAACCCCTCTCCAAGTCACCGCCAAGAGCTTCCCGGGGTCACCCACATGCGAGTGTGACTCCCTGGCTGCTGACACCAGGCAGACAGCCTGGGGTTCAAAGGCAGCAGGGCAGGGTGGGTTTTTCCTCCCAAACTGTGGAACGGCACCACCACCACCAAGACAACGCTCCCACCTGCTGTCATTTCACTTGCTTTTGCAATTAGGAATATGGAAAAAGGAATCAGAATACAGCTGCTCTGCCGTGTCCCGGCCACACTTCAAAGGCAGGCAGCTGTTTATGAGACACCTTCGGGGCTTTTCTCCTGGTGGCTCCTCTTGGCTTGCCCAGCTCACAAACCCATGACCACCTTGCTCATTCTCCTGCTACCTGTGCAGCCCCACTGCCCTTTGGGATGTGCTCAGTGTCACCACACTGTGCAGTCAGAGGACCCGTCTGGGCAGAGGCAGCACCGGCACCAGCCAGGTTTGCTGCCTGCAGGAGCTCTTCTGTCGCAGACCTGGACAAGCAGAAGGGATGATGCTTTGGAACTGCAGCTCCCAGAGCTTTCCTCACCCCACAACTCACCTGCCAAAGTATAAGATTGTCTCTGGTCTAATGGCTCCATCCAGGTGGACATGAAGCTCAACCTGCAATAAGAAAAATGGGTCAGGTATTCTTAGAGCTGCAGCAAAAGTTCAAAGATAAGTAGCTGGCACTCACATGGGTATAAATGCAGCCAATACAGGGATAAAATCATGACAAGGAAGCACAGAAACATTTTTAAAATATAATTATTATAAAGTTTATTTTTCAACATCCAAGTACTAAGTATTTTCTTATAGCTGCTGCAGCTCACACATTTAATGAATCTTTAGAAAATTATTCAGTTTCCGGTAATTTTCAGGAACTGCCCTATCCTTATTTAGCTTGTGTGGTTCAGAATTTGGGAAGAGTGAAAAAAGCAAACCCCAAACACCTTTGCTTTCCAGCTTACTCTTCCTTGAAGTCACAGGCAGCCAAACACCAATTAATTTGCTAAGAGTCATTATAAAAACTTTGACTTCACTTCCAAGAATCAGCTCCTGATGGGTTGTTAATTACTTGGTATTATCAGAGCTTACAGGATCTCTAATACTACACAAGAAGTCAGTCCCATGGTACAAGGTGCTGTAAAAAATAATAAGTTGTCCCATAGAGCTCCTAAGCTGGTTTCAAAATAAAACACTTAAATTTTTACTCATTAAAAATGGGACAGTAACTCAGGTCTTTTCACTCTGAAACCCTGTTTCCCAATTATTGCTGAAACATTGGATTTTGGAGAAAGAGCCTCAGAAAAACAAAAGCAGGTTTTTTCCATTAGCCAGCTGGGCCTTTTGGAGGAACATGACAGATGTAATTTGGAAGTCAAACTGGGAAGGAAAATATTAGCTGTAAAATGTTTCAGCTAGATATTCATCTTTCTACAACTGTTTTAAGTAACAGCATAGCCTACAAAATGCATGTTTAATTTTATTTTTTTAATCAAACTTGAGCAACTTGTTGTTAGTTGTAACATCGTGCACAAAGTTGTTAGTTGTAACATCGTGCACATTCTACTGTGTAGGTGTTTGCTGCAGGGTGCCGAGGGTAAGAATTGAGTAGGATTCAGAAGAGGACTGGATATTTGCATGGATAATTAAACCACCCATGGTTACTAATTAAAACCCACAAACCCTCGGGTGTCAGGGTATGTCTCAAACAATAACTACGAGGAAGAAAAACGAGTAAGCGGTCCCTGCCGGCAGAGCAACGCAGGACTGTCCACCTCCCCTGGATTCTTTTGGATCCTTGGGAGTGTCCAAGAGCAGGGGACATGAGCTCCTGGCACAGGGCTGGCAGTTCCCACGCACTGATGCCCACGAGCTCGCTCCCGTGCCCACCCTGCCCTGCAGCCCTGCCGTGCAGGCAGAGACCCCCGACCCACTGCCAGGGCTGTCACCCACCACTGCTGCTGCACAGGGCCCTCACTGCTGGGCAGGGGCAGGGCTGGGGGCCAGCCCACCCCCGCAGGACATGCCCCTCCACATGCACTGGTGCCAGGCCCAGGACAGCTGGAGCTGCTGATCCTGCACTGCTGCAATCAGCTGGCCCAGGGGGTCACGAATATGCCCACGGACACCACTGTTAGCAGGCTGTAAAAAGAGATCCCTGTCACTTCTCCTACCCTTAAGATACGATCTGAATCTACAGAGAGGAAGATTTAAAAAGGGGAAAACCTGCTTTTTCCCCCCACCTCGAGTTACACAGTCCTGCTTATGAGGACTAAATGTCCTGCAAAGCAGCAGATAAAATAACACAGCATGGATGTGATCTGCATCACCAGATGTGGACACCTGGCATGCTTTCCACTCTTGAGCTCCAACTCCTATTTCAAAACCAGGCAAGCTCCACTCCTTGAGATATCCAACAGCCCTTGTGACAGCCCTTTCTGATGGATAAAACTTACTGGCTTGAAACTTGCTCACACTGGGTTTAAAAACCGAGCAACTGAACCTATTGGGGTCTTCTCACTCCAAACACTTCTCAGTGTTTCCTGCAAGAACATCCCAATGTGACATTCCCACCACCACAGATTCTGTGGTGTCCTTTGTCCATGCCAGTCACTTCCTCCTGCCACTTCTGCAGGTGAGATGCTTGGTAAAGCAACAAGGTTCCTCTCCAACACCAGCAACAGGCTCTTCCTCCCCTGCCAGCACTTCTTTGGGTCTGAAGGAACTTAAACTAAGGCAGCTCAGTGCTGTTCAACCCAAAAAGTTTTGGGTTTCCCCAAGACCAGTGCTTGAGGGCGTCATTTTCTCCAGCTGAGAAGCAATCAATGCTATTTAGATGGCCAAAGGACACTCAAGAGAAGATGGAAAGCTGTGCCTAAAAGGCTCTAGATAAGGATGCAATCAGCAGAGGCACAACCCAGCTGCTCATCTCACCTCCTGGGCATCTTGCTGGCAAACCCCCAGGCTTCGAGGTCCCTGGGAGGCTGCTTGCTGCAGATTACATTTCAGCTCTCTTGCTGAGTGTTTGTTTTGGGTAAACAAAGCACAAGACTTTTTCAGACACAAGTGGGTGACATGACCTTGCCTGAAGCCAAGGAAAGCGCCCAGAGAGAGATGAAAGAGTTTTCTCTGAACTGTGGCTCCAGGAGATGATGCCTGAGCAAGCAGAAATAATGATGGATTCAGGAGCCCAGTGCCTTTTCCAGGGCTCTGCTCCAGGGCACACAGAGCTCCATGGGCACGTGGTCACTCACCCCAAACCCTCTGGTTTATCTGGAGCAGAAGCTTGTGCACACAAATTAAATGGGGATCTCAACACTGGTTCAGGACCAGTGCTGCACCATCACTGCAGAGGAGCCTCCAACCACTCCAGGACCACTGATCATAAAATCAGAGAAAGGTTTGTGTTGGAAAGGAACTTAAAGATCATTTAGCTCCAACCCCCCTGCCATGGGCAGGGTTGCCACCCACTTGACCAGGTCGATGCCTTCCCTTCTCACAGGATATGGCAACACTTCTTCTCATGAAGAACAACAAAGCAGCAGAGCTCTCCAACGCTTTCCTGGGGCAGGAGCTTTGCTC